GAAACAAGAAATTGCAGCTAAGCAGACTTACTCAATAGACTGATGATTATGGTAAACAAACACAGCAAAACAAATAATAGCTTTGCAGGCATAATCACCATAAACAAATACAACAACCTCAGGGCTATAAAAGCAAAAGACATAAGAAATTTAACTAAAGGTTAGAAATGAGTAACCATGGACACAAATTATGACTGCCCAAAGGGGTGATGAAAATAATCAGTTCCTAAGGTTAAAATGAAGATTTTAACTTAATTAAATGTGACACTAACAATTAAAATGTAAGAAGAGGTTGAGTGTATGACGTCAGGAGAGTATTTCCCAGCAATTTTGTCCAAAACTATATATAAAACAAGAGTCAGTTTCATATGGTAATAAGCATGGTACGTTTGCACAATAATTAATTCAAAAACTGGGACATGAAAATGGGACATGAGTGCAACAATACACTCTATAAAAACATTTTTGGAGTGAGTTTGCGTTTCCCAGAAACTGTAAAGTAAAATGACATGAAAATTAATACAGTAATAGTCAGAGTCAGAGTCACTGTGAACAGGAATCAATGAAAGAATGAGCAAACCTATAAACGAAAGAATTTTATGAGTGTTTGAAAATGGGATGTAAAAGTGCAAAGGTGCACAGATATTTGGGGTGAATTTGCCATTAATTTTCTCCCAAACTATACAGTAAAAATATTTGATAATTAACACAGTAATAGTCAGGATCACTGAACAGGAATCAATTGAAAGAACGAGCAAACATACAAAGGAAATATTGTTATGGGTGTAGAATGCACTTTGTTTTTTTGAAGTGATTTTGCCTTTAATTTTCTCCATAACTATACAGTAAAAATATTTGAAAATTAATACAGTAATAGTCAGGGACACTGTGAACAGGAATCAATTAAAAGAACGAGCAAACCTCTAAAGAAAATATTTTTATGAGGGTTTGAAATGGAACGTGATGCAAAAGTGTTTATGCATTTAGATGCTTGGGGTGAATTTGCCTTTAATTTTCTCCAAAACTATACAGTAAAAATATTAGAAAATTAATAAAGAATTATAAAGAATAAGCAAACCTATAAAGGAAAGATTTTTGAGTGTTTGAAAATGGGAAATGGTGCAACTGCTAGAATGCACTTTGTTTTTTGGAGTGGATTTGCCATTAATTTTCTTCAAAACTGTTTGAATATGGGACATGATGTAAAAGTGCAAGGATGCATTCAGATGCTTGGGGTGAATTTGCTTTTAATTTTCTCCTAAACCATACAGTAAAAAGACTTTAAAATTAATACAGTAATGGTCAGGGACACTGTGAACAGGAATCAATTGAACGAATGAGCAAACCTATAAAGGAAAGATTTTTATGAGGGTTTGAAAATGTGTAATGATGTAAAAGTGAAAGGATGCACTGAGATGCTTGGGGTGAATTTGGCTTTAATTTTCTCCAAAACCATACAGTAAAAATATTTGAAAATTAATACAGTAATAGTCAGACACTGTGAACCGGAATCAATTGAAAGAATGAGCAAACCTATAAAGGAAAGATTTTTATGAGTGTTTTGGAATACGGAAATAATCCAAGTGCAACAATGGAGTTTGATGTTTGGGGTGAATTTGCTTTTAGTTTTCTCTTAAACTAAACAGTAAAATGCCTTGAAAATGAATACAGTGATAGCCAGGGTCACTCTGAATACATATGAATTGAAAGAATGAGCTAACCTATAAAGGAACACTTTTTATGAGTGTTGGAAAATGGGACACAGTGCAAGTGCTTGGACGCAATTTGTTGTTTGAAACACACACACACACACACAAACATTAAATAAAAAAAACAATGGATAAAAAACATTAATATTAACATTTATAAATGTTAATATTGGGACAGTGCAAGTGCTAGGACGCATTTTGTTGTATATGGGGTGATTTTGCTTTTAGTTTTCTCCAAAACTATACAGTAAAATTCCTTGAAAATGAAAACAGTTTATACACACACACACACACAAACATTAAATAAAAAAAACAATGGATAAAAAACATTAATATTAACATTTATAAATTATTTATAATAATTAATGTACAATACAAACGTTAATGTTAAAAAATAATGTATTTACAAACTAAAAATAAAAGTTAAAATAAGCAAAAGTATAAAGGAAACGTCGGTCTGACAGCTTCTTTACCGTAAGT